TAAAAACAAAATGATTTTAGTGATAGATATACGGTATTAATTAAATAATTTCCTAATTTAAAATGGAATTTTTTTGTAATTTGTATTATTTGACATTGTAAATATTTTAATATCAGTGCATATTTTATAAATAACTATTAATACTTTGCTTTCTGAATCAAACAATTTTTAAAACCAATTTTGTTAACTTTAATTTGTTATATTAAATTAAAAATACTCGTGATTGCTAGATTAGAAGCCACATTAATTTAATTTTGAGAGAAATTGAATTCTTTAAAAAAAATTTTCCGGTCTCTTTTTTTATTTATTTCTTTTTCCTTTCTTTTTCAGCATTGTCATCCATATTGTTAAGAAATATCTACTTCAAAAACAAAAACGAAAAAACATCTAAAGTCTATAAAAACATATTACGCCTATAACGTATAAAGCCAATAAAAAATTTAAATTATCTTCTTCAGTCGCTGAAAAAAAAGTATGATCAAAACTACCAGAATAAGATAAAATTTAGCTTGTTTTTGGCTCTATGGGAACGCCAAATAGATAGTTAATTTTTTTTACAGATGTGCCTTGGTCATGATTTTGGTACATTTCACAATGAAATATGGTTTAGCGTAATCAAATTTGGTTAGTGTGGTAAAATTTGGTAAATTATCATGATGCTTTAAAGCATGGCATAAAAATTATTAGAATTTTCATCATCGTACAGCACGGTAATTTTGCCAGAATTTTTTTTCTTCATGTAAGTTCTTCTATTTCTTATAAATAAATAGTCTTCATCCCTTACTAAATACGTCAAAATCTACCTGCTTAAACACAAAACAATTCAGAATTCTGCACTTAATTAAAGAACATAGACTGCTAACACTATTCTAAAGAAATTTTAAGGAACTATTTTAAAAAACTATCTTAAAGGGAAAAAAAAACTGCAGTTCTTATAAAACCTCTAAAAGCATTTTCTCAATTCCAATGTCTAAATGAAAAAAAAAATTCTCTTTTTTTTCCTCAAAAAATTAAGCAAAATAATTCATAGAGAAAAAAATGGACCCTTTTAAATCATAAAATAAATATAGAAAAATCTTAAGCAAATTAATAAATAATTTCAAAGAATTTTTATTTCCGCTAAAACGCGTAAAAAATAACAATAAAACCAACGCGTAGCATAAACTTCTCAGTTATAAAACTGAAGCTCCCAAACGATTTTTCGCTAAGATATCAGTTGCATTTATTTGCAAACTAATAAAAAAGAACTACACGACAACACCTTTTGACAAAGGAACCATAAATTACAACATTATGTTTCGTAGTGTTTGCTTTCAAGGTGCCAAGCTAAGTTGAGAAAACATTACAGCATATTTGGTTATGTAGCATACCCATTCTTACTTATACTTGATGATATAATTTCCCCGCATTTTGGACGCCCGTCTTTTACAACCTTTGCGTGATTATCAGCTGCTACTGTAGAAAAAAAAATGTATTGTTGGCGAGGTATTATTTGGTGTAATTCTTTTTATTTCGCCAATCGCGTCATTGATGTTCAATATCATTGTGTCAAAATAATGAATGATTAGTTAAAGGTCGTAAAAAGAGTTGCCAACGAAATATGACGGCAGTTGTTATGGCATTTTTTTTTTTTTAAATTAGTCACGAATAAAGCTTAACGAATTTCCTTCTTAAGAAATTTTTTGCACATTATTTTTGGCAAGAAAGTAATCGAAATTATTGATTATTCTCAGTAATGAACCTTTAAAGAATAGAATGGTTTCTCTTGTAATTCTAGAACATTTATGATTCGGTTTATTTGACGATACGCAGAATTGTCCAGTACGTGTTGTTCTAGAAGCCTTTCTAAAATAAATCAAAAAAGAATTCTATATCTGTTCAAAAGCAAAACTACGAAACAACTGAACACGCTTCTTAATTATTATTTTAATTTGGTAAATTAAATTCAGTAACGCAAGAAAAAATATGTAAAAAACTAACACATAAAAGTGTTAGTTTGTTTCATAAGAAATTAGATAATTATAATTTAACATATATTTTATATTATTATTATTATTATAATTTTGTTAAATTTTTCTCAGAAATTTCTTTACTAATGAGAGTTTAAAGACAACGATGGCACAATGGTTTAAACTGAAACAATTGTGAAAGGCTGGGGTACTATCAACGGCAACGGAATGAAGCCCTCCCTGCTTCATATAGTTGAGCGTTTAGTAAATAAAGGCGGTCGCTGCGCAACACTAGCCATATTGCCACCACTATGCCTTTTGGTCGAAAAATGGGAGATCCTTAACACCAATCACCCCGTCATCCTACGGCTATTTATTACAAAAGGGTTTTACTTTAACATGAAATTTAAATTTGTTTTAATAAACAATTGGTTTATTACGTAAAGGAAGTTTTATACATTAATAAAAATAATTATTTTAAGTTATAATATCGCATTAAACAATATTGTTATTTTAAGTTAATAATTACTTTGATGTTTTACATTATACATTAGAAGATATTTAGATAAAATTGCACTACATCTTTAAATAAATAATTCTTATTTTTCGTTAAAAAAAATTCAGTTTTGATTATTCTTTTGAATATACTTATTTTCTTTTGTTGCCCTTTTGTTTCAGAAGAAAAAGTGCAAATTAACTCTGACATAAGAATAGAGCACTGAATGAAGAAAAATTATTTAATACTAGATTAATAGGTTAGAAATTACTAGATTTATTTATTTTTTAAATCATGAAACCAATATTTTGTTTCTGTCATTTTGTATATTAGATTAGTGGTTTATAATAGTTGTTTATATTATTCTTGTTTATTATTTTAGCTTTAGTTTACTATTGTTATCGATTATTTTAGTTGTTTGTTACTGTTATCGTTTATTATTATTTCAGTTTTCGGTATTGTTGTTATTTGTTACAGATTTGATGATACTATTTGAATACATTTGTTTCGGCTATATTTCATTCATTTTTCAAAAACATAATGGTATTCTTTTGTATTGCTTCTGTTCGATTAAGAACAAATATACACAATCTATCTGTACAATAGTTTCAAAATTTAGATTTTTGTTAATTTCATAGATTTATTAATGTAGCATAGTATGGTAATCGGTATTTATTGCTGCTTTCTATTGCTTTTATTTTTTTTCTTTTTCTTTTTGTTTGTTATTGTAGCGATTTGTTATTTCTATTATTTGCTATTGTTCTATTTTTTCATTGTTTAATTGTTTTAATTTCCAAATTATTACAATACTAACTGAATAATAAATTTAAAAATGAAAATTTTAGCATGCTTTTTCTTTTGTTATTTATTTCTAATAACTGGTAAAGTCGATAATGCGAAAAATATGAAAATTGCAATTAATTAATTTAGAGTGGATTTTCTTCAGTCTTTCCTTTTTTGCCCTAATATTATAAAGTAATTTTCATATTTAATTTCCTATTTGCTGATTTTATTACAAATTTGTTCTTAAATCAGAAAAATATAAAAATAGAATTTAAAAAAAATTTTTATGCTTTTAAATAAATATAAAAAAATAATTAATATTTCAAAATTTAATATTTTATTAATGTGATTTACAATGATAAAAAGTTTAAAAGATAAAAAGCTGTTCATTTCGGAAGTTGTAATAGTGTTTTGTTCTGTTTGAAAACCATGCAACAAATGTAGAAAATTTTTGCCATTTAAAACTAGCAACCATTGACTTATTCCGGTTATAAGTACTTGAATCCATGTAAATTAAACTGACATTGCAATTAAATCAATTTTTTTAAAAAATCAAACCCTAACGGAATATAATGCATTGGAGAATTAGATTGCTTTTTGCAATAAGAATATGTAAAATTACATTACTACGTAAATTACAAATAATGATATTCTTACAAATCTTCTTTGAGGAATTTGATAGATTTTAATGTATGATATTAATTAAAATCTACTAATAATAAAAAAATAAGGACCTATCTTTAAAGAATATATCAATATGAATCATAAAAAATTGCGGATAAAAAAATATGTTATTTATTTTATCACAGATTTCAGTATTAGGTTTCTTTGTTTACTCAATTAGGATAAAATGCACTTTTATTTAATTTTTAACTAAAAACTATTTAAATTACTTTTTCTTTCTTTTACATATAACTAAAAGGAACGCTACTATTATTTTGTTTCTAACTCGTTTTAAAATCATGAAATGTAAGATTATTTATTAATCTCTTTCTTTAACAGCTATTTAATTATAGATTTTTTTTCGTTTTTACAGACTGTAACATATTAAGAATATTCTTTATATATTTAGAATATATCAAATTAGGAATATTCTTCATGTTTATAGAATGTAAAAAATAAAGAATATTCTTAATGCATTTCGAATGCAACATATTAAGAATATTTTCGATATATTTAGAATGAAGCTTATTAAGAGTATTCCTCTTGCATTTATAATGTTACAAAGAATTAAACTGATGGGTATTTAAAAATAATAAGAATAAATGATTAAATATTTAAAATACTGTATATAATTATTCGTGCCTTCAGTAGGAATATTTAAAGCCCCATAATATTCTGAAATCAACAGTTAAGCACTTTTTAAAACTGTATTATGACTTCCAAGATTAAATTATAAAATTTTCAATCTATTCAGAGAACTAAATTTAAATAATAATGCTATTAATTATATTAAGGCCATATTTTTATAAGACAAATGTTACAGCTAACTTTTTGGGAAGTTTCATGAGCAAAAATATTTCAAAAAATAAAAGAATGCCGCCATTTGTAATCTCTTTTTTAAATGAGCAATTTCCGTCCTTTTTAAGAGTAATTTTACAATATTACACTAATCAATCTCTATCATTACTGATAAGTAACAGCAATCAGTTATTTAAATTCCTACTTTTAAAACATTCAAAATCATAAAAGAAAGATTTTCGACATTAAATTGTCATTTTCGGTTGTTCTTACGCACGCGAATCCAAAACATTTACATAACTTCTACTTACGTTGTGTGCGCCTCTCCCAATGCAGTTTTCGTCGCGGTTAGCAGTTAAAAATTTAAAAAAATACAATATCTAAAAAAGCAACATGCAGTTTACCTTAGAGTTCATCTAACTAGTGGACATCGCGAAATGAAACTGCGAACGCGAGGTAAAAACGTTCTAGAGAAAAACCAACCGAGAGGCAAAACAAAACAAAAAAAAATTAGGCTTCAAATACGGTGAAAAATTACCCTCTGTCTTGAGTAAAATAACGTGAGTGCGTGGCCATAAAAAAGATGGGGAAAAAAAACTATCTAGCATTAATCAGGATTGACTGGACTGTTGTATTTTAGGATCTCCCTGATCAAAACCTGGAGCTGATGAATCGAGTTGGGGTCTTGTCAGTAGATCGGGGGCTTTAGGGTCACGTCGTGAGAGGGGCGCTGCCCCCTTGGGGTGTATTCCATTTCTGGTCAACCCTGAGGCTCAAAATTAATTGCAGGTTTTTCATTGTAGCAGTTTGTTTCGTTTATTTTCACGTTCATTTTAAGAGGTTGATTGTCATAATCTTTTCTTTTTTTCTTTTAGATCATGCTTGCCTTAGGTTTTACGTTTTGTTCCCCTTAAAAGCGGTTGTTATAATCGTTCGTAGAAAATTGGTTTTGCTACCGTTTAAACGGTCAGGTGTTTCAGGTTGTGGTTTTATTTGCACCATCTAATTTCCACTTTTATTGGATCTTTTTTTTTCCTTTCTATTTATTATATTTCTTATATAGTTTTCTCCGTATATTACATTTTCTTTAAAAATATTTTTTTCTATATATTCTATTTTTTATTTATTTATATTTTTCCTGTATAATATATTAGCTTTTAAAAATTTCGGAACTTGTTGAACATTATTATTGAATTTAAATTTGATCTAACGATATTGTTGTTCAACTTGAATAGAAATATAGTGCTATTTAAATATAGTGCAATTTAAATATAGTACAGAACAAAATTAGAAATTATTAGTCTTATTTGTTTTAAATATACTGCAAAGCAGAAATATAGTACTACCTCTTTAAGGTTGTAAATTTGTACCGTATTATGCTTCGAGGTACCAATATTATGGTGCATTTTTTGAGAATGAAAATATTTTTTTGAAAGGAACTTATTAAATTCTACAAATAACAATCACACCAATATTGAAGTACTCTATTAGTAAAATCGGTATAATTTTAAACCATAATATCAGTACTTTAAACCGTAATTAAGCCATAAATTCTTTGAGCCATAATAGCAATTATAGGAAGTGTTAAATTAAACGTGTTTTCGTTCAAGTGGTATCATAGCATAGCGTAAATAATTTCAGAAAGATTAAATTGCATGCAATTATGGTTGAATTTAACACCTTATTAAGGTTGCAGCGAATTTGCACCATATTATAGTTCAAAGATCTAAACTTATAGTTCAACGCTTACCCAATGTTTTGGGGAGTGCATGTGTTACTTTGAGTGCGACTTAGATATCAAGGTAAAACCAATAACAAAGGCACTTCTATTAGGGTACTCTACTAGTAAAATCAGTGCAACCTTAAACCACAATATTGTTAGTTTGAACCATAATTAAACTATAAATACTTCGAACCGTAATGCAGCGAGAGAAAAAAAACTCTTTAAATCTTTTTAACATTTCCATTGAGCCAGAAACACGCTAAATTTAACTAATTTCTGGTAGTTTAGATCATACTTTTCATGCTTTAGTAGTTATGATCATACTTATAATAAAACCATATTTTAATGCAAATTTTGCGAAATTATTTTCTAAGGGTTTCGGTAAATATTGCCGAGCTTTTTGGTGATCCCATAGGGCCAGAAATATGTTAAATTTTATTATATTCTGATAGTTTTGACCATACTTTTTTTCTCAGTTTACTGCCTCTGAATAAACATGTCTTTTTTGAATTCTTGACTCTCAAAATGGTTGAGGTGGATTCAATTACATCTCCTAATTTGTTCAAATCTATATTCTCAACAAAAACATTTCCTTTTGATAATTTTAAAAGCGCTTGTATAAAATTACCCATAGTTGGTGTGAAAATATAAACGCTTCAGCTACCACGCTTATGCAAAGAGGAAACGATTCAGACAAACATTTAGTTATAATAGTTTAAATAAACGAAACTTTTCACACTCGTTAACCCTTGTAATTGCACTGCAGCTTAGTATTTACTGTCTTTAATTCAGTCAAATAATTACGACATTTTTCACTAAATGCTCTGACATGTTTACAAGGTAAGAATAATCAACCGAGTCAGTCAATCTTTTTTTTTTTTTTTTTTTTTTTTTTTTTTTTTTTTTTTTTTTTTTGTATATATATAAAAAAAAGTCTTCCAAATTATAGTTCTGAAATATCCCCCTCCGAATCCGCAGGAGAAAATCACAGTGATACATCAAACAATATGACAGGTAGGCCGCAACCAGGGATGTTTACTCCAATATTTTTCGGTTCACCAACACCTGCGAATTCGAATTTAAAGAAGAAGAGCAAATTTGCTTACATCCCTCTTTTATTGAAATTGAAAATTTCAGAATTCTTTGAAATAAATTATTTTTGTACTCTATTTTTTTCTTAAATGTATTTTTATTTTCTAATGAATAGTCTGCGAGATATTACCAGCAATTTTTGTTGCTTGAAATCAAACATGGTTTCGTTAAATTTTTTGAAATTCCGGGGACGTTTAAATATTACAAATCCAAAGGGTAAGAACGTAATTTGCTTATTCAAGAGGGAGGTGGGTTTGAGCAATGTTCACTTAATACGTAAAAATATCTTCATTTTCAAAATTTTCCAAGAAGACAAGAAAAAGAAATTTAAAAAAAAAAAATCACTTGGAAAATTTTAAAATGTATGCTTACGTAATGCTTACGTAAGACCTTGTTTTAAATTTTTAAATATAAAAATGATTCAACTCAAACTTTAAAGAAAATTATGCTCGGAAAAATTTGAATACGAAAGTTAACATTGCGCAGAGACAAAAATTCTGGTAAAATTACCGTACTATAAAATAATGACATTTCTGGTAAAAAATAAATAAAAACTCATTTCTAGTCAATAAAACTGAAATATATGGTATTTAAATCATTCATTTGGTAATTTTTTTCGTTAATATGGTAACGGTTTACCGAAAATGTTGGTTTTAAAAATTATAGTTCTTATTACCACACATATGATAAAAGATTCAAAACTGAAAAGTAAATTTAACCAAATGAATGACCCTAAGATATTACGATAGAATTACCTAATTTTACCTCATTTACCCAATTTTATCACATACTATGAAACCATATTTTATTGTTGATTTTACCAAAATCATTACTAAAGCGATTAGGTAAAAATTACCATAGAGCAAGAAACACGTTAAGTTTTACCATATTCTGGTTGTTTTTACCATACTCTTTTCTCAGTGTACTTACTAGCAAATTTACGAGAGTATAATGCGAGATGTTGATGGAAAAATACAACATATATTTTTGATGCATATTTAGTTTTTATTTCAATGTCATCAAATTATATATGTCACATGTTGTCATAATAACATGTCATCAAGTACTTTTATTTTTAATGCATAAAATAAAAATAAAAATGATGTGATATATTCAATGGTGATAAAATTAAAATGAGATCGTTTTATCTACTAAATATTCTGAAATCATTTCTTTTTTCGTTTTACATGCTTCATGTTTAACTTGTATTTTACGTACTTATTCAAATTAAAAGAATTTGATTATCTAGATCGAATTTTCTGATATCTTTAAGAATTCTATTACTAAGTTACGTTCATATGGTATGTTCATATGAGTAAGAAATATTAATATACCACAATATTTAAGAATTGTGTTGTTTCTTAAGCATAACATATTTTGTAAACGACATATTTGATGTTTAACATTGCAACATGAATATAAACGTTGTAACGTAGTGTCCAAACTTTATTAACTTCTTTCTTACCTTTATTAATAACATAGAAATTTTGTTAAAATAGTGAAGAATATGCGAATTATTAAATGCACAATATTGTAAACAAAAAATAATAATAATAAAATAATTTTATTATTTAGTTACTATTTATTTTTGCACTTTAATATTAAATGGCTTATTGCAAAAGTGATTATGATTGAAGAAATTTTAAGAGAAATACTTACGAAAATTTTAAAAAAAATTTTGAACCAGTGTGAAAATTATTGTAACTAAAATGTATTTAATACATGATATACTGTAAAAAAAAATTATATGATTGAAAACTACTTAAGACACAATTTTAACCTAATTTGTACTGATGTGAACAATTTTGTAACAGAGTATAAACAATTTATTCCATTGTTTGGTATTATTTATTTTTGTGTCCAATTATTATATAAATAACTGCAAAAACTTATCATGATAATTATTTCTGTAAAAATTATAACAGGACATACACTAGGGAACAAATTTTTTGTCGCATTTATTCAAATACTTGATCTTGTCAAATTCGGTTGTAAGGGCTTCAAAAATGAATTTAGTTTTGCTCCTAAAACTACAGGTTTTTATTATAAATGACGTTTTTAGACCTACTGTCATAAGCAGTATAAAAAAGCCGATTCCAGCACACAGGCGGCTCAAGCGGAGGTCGACTTGAGTTGTTTCCTTCCTGCTTCTGAGTTGAGTTGAGTTGTTCACCTGATTTCGTTTTGGTTTCGTTTTCTAAAATTTCTAACTTCCGGTGGCAACACCCTGTTTAGTTTTGGTTTCGGTTTCCAAAATTAAAAATTTTTGACATTTCATTTCGTGTACATTTAGTCAAAAAATAGACTAAAAATGTCATTAGAAAAGCTGTAGCTTGGAGGGAGAAACTGATTGTGTATTTGAAATCATCGAATCGAAAATATATCTTAGATCTGTTAAAAAAATTCTGATGCAACAGAAAAAAATGTTTGTTCCCCACTTTTATTATTGTGGAAAAATATGAAAAAGTTTATTATGTGAATTATTGGAAGTTAAATATTCTTATAAAAATTATCTGAATGAGTTATTAGTGTGAAAATTATTATTTGAACAATTTACACCAATTTTAGTTTAATAAAAATTTATTAAAGGATATTTGTTCTGATGCATTGACTCGTTTAACTAAAAAAGGGTTTTCTTTACTGCAGGACCTGATTAAGAGAATTTAAGACTCTGGGCAAAATACTGAATAAGGAGCAGTAATATTTTCACTAACTATAAAGTTTGTGTTACTTTTATTTCAATAAAAAATGTACAAGTCTACATCGGCATTCCTTGCCAAGAACTAACTGATTGAGGATTTCACGGCTTTCCTCTTCGTGTAACGCAGCTGTTGGATATTTCCATAAAAAAAAGTCTTCCATGAAGGCTAGTTTGCATCAATACTTGATGTCCGAAAATTAAAAATTTGAAGTAAAGTCTGTTAGTC